TCCGTACTTAGCAATGATTCAAAATAATCAATAACATTGTTTTCTGGGACATAAGCTAATGCATATAATTTACGTAAATAGAAAAGAAATTCTGAACCTTCTGAATATTTTTTCTAGAGACCAAACTTTGAATATGACGTCAAAAAGATTGAATAAAGTGAAAAAACAAATTTTGACATGTATGTCTGTGTAAACATATATCACAAATTTATGGTGACCTTTTTAAAATTTAATATAAAAAGTTCTGGTTTAAGAATTTAATGCTACAAACATTCAGTGATATGTATCTTCTGATTTATCGGGCAAGGAAACATAAACTAATGTCACCACATTTGTATCTATAGTACTATGGACTACTTAAAATAGAGCGAATAATTTTGGAGTTCATGTAAATGTGCCATCGGCAAACCAATAGTAGCTATTTTGTAATAATTCTAAATTTTTAAGCGTCGAAAATAATAAAATTGTTTATTATCGCATTTTTCATTATAGTTATCGTATAAAAAAAAAAAGTTTTCGACACTTACAATTTTTTTATATACATCTGCAATACTAAGATCAGTTAATGTGGCCAGATTAGTCGGTGCTGAACTGTTTTATTTCTCGTACGTTTTATTAATCGTTTTAACTGGTCGATTAGTGATGGTAGTTTACTAGCAATATTAATTATCGATCTAAAAAAATATTTAAAAATAATAAATATTATCAATAATTTTTGATTATAATTTAAAAACATACTTTTTCTGTAACTACTCTAAGTAACAACCAACATGCGTGGTTAATTGTAATATTTTACCTCATTGAGAAACTCTTCACATTTTATTTTTGTGACATCTGGTTTATGGGTATGATCAGTGTATTAATGACCCTGTCACTTTTTGTGTGAACACAACAACGGAAATGTAACTAATTATAGTCATTACACTTTCAAATCATTTTTTCATTACTACACTTTTTTTTTATAGATAAAATTGTTATAAACCAATACATTTTTACTTTTTTTGCTAAACACATACTTTAACGCCATACTTTATACTTTGCATTTAATACTAAAAATTATTTAATTTATTTAATAATTTAATAATAAAAAAAAATATTTTTATCACGCACGTTAAATTCTAACAAGTGTACACGATTAAACAGTAAGATTGATCTGAAACAGCATTTTCAATATTATTTTATTGTTATTGCGCTTAAATTGCTTGCGCTATTGTTGTACCACGATTAAATTGTTCGCGACCAAATAATCTCGTTCTCATGTCGCACACTCATTTTACAGCGACCAAATGACGCGACACTGATTTTTACCTAGATTAATTATTAATATATTTTATCTTTTATAAAAACAATTTTAGTTGAGTTTATTTTTATCTTTATCTAAATAGATTTTTGGTATATTATCTTTATTTATATCTATATAAAAATGTATTTATCTATTCAACACTGGTTATTGAAGACTTATTAAAATCATTCTGAAATCAATACAACTAGTTAGTATTTACTTTTAAATACTTGCTTGTAACTTTACCTTTGAATGTATAACAATCTATGATCAATATTTAACCAATAACACCAGATCTTTATTAGATATAAAGAAATACTGCCGAAAGTAAAATGCTTCAATATATGAAAATCATTTGTCTAATATCAGAAAAATAATGAAAATATATACGAGGTGTTACTATTAAATAACTAGATTTTTATTTACAATTTTTAATAATTTAACATTTTTTCCCTTCTATATACTCTCCTTCAAGTTTGACACATAGCAGCTCCATTCGTATTTTCCGTTGGTTGAAACAGTGTTGGAAATCCTTTTCTTATAATGCCTTAAATACCTTTGTCGATTTTGTTTTTATAGTTTCAACTGACTTAAAATGTGTCCCTTTTGACGCGGATTTTAATTTTGAAAAAGACAAAAGTTGTATAAATCAAGATCTGGCAAATATGGGGGGGGGGGGGGTTAGAAGTACTAGAGTTTGATTTTTTGCTAGAAACTGCTTCACAGATAAAGCATAATGAGCCGGCGTGTTGTCTTTATGCAAGATCCATGAATCGTTCTCCCATAACTCAGGCCGTTTTCTTTTTACTCGTTCACTGAGCAAAACTTATAAATAATAATTTTTATTTACAGTTTGTCCCTGGGATACCCATTAAGTCATTATAATACCCTTAATATCAAAAAATATGATTAACATTGCTTTTAGTTTCGACTTGCTCATTCGAACTTTATTCATTTTTGGTGACTCAGGAGTCTTCCAATGTATGGACTGTATGATTAGTTTCAAGATTATATTGGTAAATCCATGTTTCGTCATATGTTATCACTTTTTTTTAACAAATCTGGATCATTTTCCAACCGTCCAAGAATGTCCCAAGTTTCATGAGAAATTTTAAATTAATACGCTGCTCAATTTTTTCGTACGGCATAATTTCAATGAACAGCATGTAAGAAGTCACTTTAAACAACATTCACACGATAAGTATTGAACGGACAATAACTAAACTTGTATTGTTCGATCCAGTGACATTCATAGATTATAAATATATCAATATTTATATTCCCTTATCGATACGTATTTTATCACTCGTTTGATATTCTCGTTATTTAATAGCAACACCTCGAAAAATCATATTCCAAGAGTATACACTAGAGTATATAGAGTATATATATATATATATATATATAGTTTTTAATCTATATATGATAGGTTCATTTCACAATGATTATAATGTGATTATGACTACAATATTTTCCATTTTTAATAAAATAATATTAATCGAATAATTATCAAGATATGAATATATATATATATATATATATATATATATATATATATAATCAGGATATATAGGAGCAAAAAAATGTCAAGACTACAAATATTATTGGCTTGATTATATAACATTACTTCTTTACTGTTGTTAGAAAGTTTAATGTAACAAGGTATGAATTTATTATTTATTAGTACTCAATAATATATACATAAATAATAAAAGATATAATTTGAAATGCCATTGAAGTATTACTTTTTTATCTTCAAAGCATTTATATTATTTTTATTATTAGTATAAAGTCTACTTTAAAATAATTTTAAAATACCTAATCTACATTTTATGAAGCAATAAATTATTTTTAGTTGATTAATTTAAAACATGAGTAAACTTCCTAAGCTGAAATCTTGAAATATAGTGAAAAATAAACATTGTATTAAAAAGAAAACATGTAATGTTTGGTTTGATAAATTATAGTTTATCCTTACAATGTAAATATAATTAAAATGTCACCACTGAGAATCACTTTTTATGAGATATGCTCTATCATTGTTTACGGATTCGGTTGCAACGTAAAGACTCAAGTAATTTAGTATAAACAATAATATGTCAGTTTAGAGTTTTAGTTACATGAATCATGGGTCTTTCCATATTCAACAGTATTCAATTACAGGATACAGCAATGGCTTGTTCAGCCCTTTTATACGTTTAAGATATAACAACGAACACATAATGTTTTCGGAAACCGGAAAGTTTACTACTTAAAAACCAATACAATTTCAAAATAGCAATGGTGTCATTAAAAACAGTTGTATATTGTTTGTTTAGCTAGCCTTTGGGCTTAAACCCACTGTTTTAATTTTTAAATATAAAACAATGGTAAATGAAAATGTAGCATTCATAAAACAATATTCATTTAAGTGCTTTAATTATTTTTATTTTTACTTTTAATGTTGAACTTAAACTCTCGAGAAATATTCAACACTATACCTACATCATATCATATTTTAAAAATATTCAATAATCTCATACCATAAATATCAAATTTCATTGAACTTATTATAAAAAAAAAAAAAAAAGGTTTTGATGGAAAAATATAAAGGTTATTAAAAGAAAAAAATATAAAATATTGTACAATCCACGTTACATAATATATACGTATTATTAATGTGGATGACAGATATGTTATATAATGTTTGACTAGTATACTCTTGACTTTTTGACTTCGTATTTCTGACCCGTGTTGTATAAATACCATCATATTAATAAAATATGAAAAAAAGTACGAAAAAAAATTAACTCGTTATTACATTTCTTTTTACTGAGTTAAGTACTGAAAAGTTATCACTGTAGTTTTGTTTTAAAACAAAATATATATATATATATAAACGTTTGTAAATATTACATCTTAACTATATCACCATTAAAATTCTTAATGCTTAAAATATATATTCGAAAGCCCATTTCTGAGACATGATTAAATCAATATTCCAATAAAGTAAGTTTTACTTATACTAAGCCTTAAATTAAATATAAGGCCTTAACATGGTAAATAATGCTTTATAAAAATAAATAAAAACTTTATATAAAACCAAAATATGATCAAATTACACTTAGTACGTTTATTAAAAAAGTAAACTTCATGTTTTGGATAAATGAATCAATATTTATTCAGTTAAAAACTTCAAATATTTGTGATGATTATCATAATGCGTTTTTTAACTCAATAGAAATTTCAAATGTAAAGCGTCTTGATAAACGTATTTATATTATTATTATATTGGACAGCTTAAATAATCATTGTCACATAATATACCAATACATTTTTAATTTGTCTTATAAACAAAAAATAATCTTAATTTTTATCTTTTGATACATTGTTTCAGTTAATGCAATATTTGAATTATATTAATTAATTTATGTTATGAAAAATAAATAATAAAATACATGAAGAATACAATGAGATATTTTAGAATTATGCTTTGAAAAATATAAAAAACCGATTGACCAAATACATGGTAAATAGATTGGTATGTTTAAACAAACATTGAAACATGTTTTGAGTAACAACAAAGTTGTTTAAATCTGTATTTTTTTTTAAAAAAATTAACAGGAATTAATCTTTTTCTTAGGATAAATCATATTAATAACAATAAAAAAAAAATTATAATTTTATTCTTAGTTATTAAATTTTTAATCATCTATATCAATAATTTCAAATGTTACAGATACCAGAGAGATGTACGATCATGGTTCAGTGACATATAAGATGGCAGAAATGGAAATGCGCGTGGATCACCTAACTAGATTATATGAACTGAGGGACAAAGATGTCCAGGAACTGATTAAACATTTCAGTTCGGTTCTGAAAACGATTGTAAAATCATTAAACGTTTCAGTGTCAGGCGATATTGAATCTTTAATAGTTGCTTACAATAAATCTATCGAAATGGTCAGATCACCAATGGCAAATTTCGACGTGTATACTTTCTTACCCCATCTGCGATCCCATAAGGACTACTTGAGACCGTTGATATTACATTCCGGTGGCAGAAATGCAGGTAACTTACTTATTTTACATTACACCCAGGGGACAATACATGTAATATGTGTAACATGGAAATAAACAATAAAAGTTTTAAGTAACAATATTATTATCATTAAATGAATCCACAGTATAAATTTAAAGTATCTATATCTACACGACATCGCATATACATTTTATTTAACCGGTATAACCAATATAAATATTTTAAATACAATTTACCGATTTATAACGTATACCTACGAATACAAAAGCTTATAAATCAATTTAATGGGACAGATCCTGAATATTAATTAAATTAATTTTAAACGATACATGATTTGCGTTCAAAAAACTTAAACCTTAATAAGTTTCACTGTTTAAATTAAAATTTTAATCCATAAATAAATCAATAGTTTTATAACAAATATAACTGTTTCAATAATTTATTTATTTAATGAGTCTTTGTGCCTATTAAACATTCCAGTTCGACAGTTTTATATATATAGTTAATCGATATTTTATATATTATAACAATAATTTGTAGCTAATACTATAGATTACAATAATAATAAAAATTGAAAGAATTAATTAATGATTTATTGAAAAGTGATATTTGTATTTAGAGATATTGCTTTATGGGAGATTAATTTTATTTAGAACTGAGATAAGAAGAGATATAAATGGGTTAATAATTGCAAAAAATGTAGAAAAAACTTTGATTACTACGTTTCAATTACAAAAACGTGATTATTATTATTTTCAGAACCAGAAAGAAGCGTAAGAAGTGAGCTTAGGATTAGGATTTAAATTCGTATTTAAAAGTTATAAAGTTTGGGTTTTTATGGAATTCAATGAATACTGAATTCTGAATTGATGTTAACGGAGAGATTTAAATTATTATACGAGAATCCTTTGAAGTTTGTTGTGTAATCACAAGGCATATTTGATTGGATTGCTTCTGTCTTTGTTATACTCGAAAATGAGGTGATCATCGTCACACTTGACACAGCATGGACGGAGAATGCAAAAACCATTAATTATAGCCTTAGGCCTAGCAATCGTAGCATTGGGGTGGAGGGTCACGTGACTTTGTACAAATTTCGCGATTTTAACCACAGTACTGAATAGATCAGAGATGAAATATTAAAATTGTTCTTGTTATTTTCAAAAACTTTTAAATCCACATAAAATAATGGTAGAGCAACGTTTAATTTTAATATATTTGATACACTTGCACATACTTAACTGTATGACCAAGGGTGACCAAAGCTTCAGAAATATCGGAGCTAAGCGTCGTATGATTACAATCCGAAACGGGTGTAGATGTAATGGAAGAAAGGAATGATATTTAAAACTATTGTTGCAACTTTCTTCGTATTTGGGACAAACACTTATGTATGACCAAGTAGCTTTAAATTATAGTTGGTTGATATCAATCGTACTTGATAACAAATTCTTGAATTAAGTTATATTATTAATAGGACAGCAGTAATAGAGCTTACATGTAGATGGTTTGAGATAGTATTTTGTATGGCACCTGTTGAACTGTTATTGCTTGATGTGGGAAACACATCATCATTAGAATCATCTTCAATTGGTAAAGCCACAAACCGAACCGGTGACGTGAGTAACTTTGGCTTTTTGTCATTGTGAGATAGGAAATTTATGGTCGAAGATGAAGTTTTTCGTCCTTATTTTGGAAGTTAATCACTTCGCCATTGGAATCGTAGAGAGTAGAAATGTTTTAGAAATATGTATTGCAATATAATTACTATATCTTTTAAAGCATTGAGGTTCCTCTTCCGTACCGCATCTTGCGCGTAATGACGCTGTCCTTTGTTCTTTTCTCTGATAACGGAGTGTATAATGGCATACGTGGACACTGCACAATGGATACACTGGACTAAGTTTCAATCATTAATTTATATAATTTAATAACGATATAATATTTATGTAATAATACATCATATTTTGTGTTTATTTTCCGTAAATAATATATATCACTATCAACAATATCAATGAATTATATTTTAAAATAACCTACGCCTATGATTATTCATTAAAAAACATCGACATATTCTTTTGTTTATTTACTTTTTTATTTTTCTAAACAAAATTAATCTTAATTTTTAAACTTAAATCATGTACTTCGCAAAATACGCACGTATTTTAATCTCCTCATATTATGGAACTGAATCAATAGTTTATTATATTTGTTCAGGAAAATAAAACAAAATACTTTTTTTTAAATCAAAGCTCTACTTCATTAAAATTGGATACCTTATTCTCAGATTTTATTATTGGATTCGGATTTAAATTACCATACATATAGTTTTTTTTCAAGTGTTCGAGTTTTTTACACGAGTTACCCTCAGTGCATAATTTTGAGTTTATTTCCCATCAGAATTTCGTAAAAATAAATACATTTTCACAGTAGTTTTTAAGCATCTCTCTCAGATTTTGATGTCAATCTAGTCTACCCAATCGAAAATCCTTCTACTATTCGGAAAAAAAGGGACGTCAATAAAAATACAAATCACCATATACTATATATGACGTATTAGTATTGAACAAAAAATAAAGGTAAAATAAGTGAAAATATGACAATCTTTCCGTACGAATCACTGTTTTATTTTTTATTATTTATTTATTTATTATTTTTTTTTTTTGATAAATTTTTGAATAATTAGGCTATCAAGTACTGTATTTTGAAACGTTTCACTTTTTTCACGCATCTGAATATAGCTTCTTAATATTAATAGCTAATATGATATTTGCTGCTTTAATAGTTGCAATCAATTTGGTTAAAATTATAGTCTGTTTTTAATTAACACATTTCATGAACAATTTTCCATATTTATAATATATTTTAATTTATATAACACTAATAATTGACTTTTATTAATAATATTTAAAACATTATTAACATTATATTATTTCTTAAATGTATTTCAATATAGTGTCTATGGTATTTGGAGTTCCTACTGTTCGACGCCAACAACAAACATATTTAATTCAAACACTAATTAATCTTGTGAGCAATATGAATCAAACTGAACAAAAAGATTCGTTAATAGTAATAATGATTGGCGAGGTAACACATGTATATTATTAATTACGGAATTAGACAAATAAATAATTGGAATTGCTGTAATGATAATTGTTTCACTTTTTATAGACTGATCATGAATATACACACCAGGTTACTGAGGAAATTAAAAATCGGTAAATTATATTAAATAATAATATATCAATCACAACGTCTAGTGCATGTAATTTAATATTATATTCCAGACTATCCGATGCTGTTAATTCAGGTCTTATTGATATAATTGCACCATCTCCAGAATATTATCCCGATTTTAGTAAACTGCGTCTCACTCTCGGCGATTCTGAAGATAGAGTCCGCTGGAGGAGTAAACAAAATTTAGATTATGTATTTTTAATGATGTACTGTCAACCGAAGGGTTCATTTTATGTTCAACTTGAAGATGACGTAGTCGCAAAACCTCAATTTCATACTATTATGAAAAAAACAGCCTTACAGAGAATAGCTGATGGACAAGAATGGTTTATACTAGACTTTTGTCGTCTTGGATTTATAGGTAAGTGTAATAAAACTTACACATTTTTCATAAAATATATGATCCTTTTATAGAATTCACACTCTTGTGTCTATAGGTAAAATGATAAGATGCTCAGATTTACCGTGGCTAATCCAATTTATTGTGATGTTTTATAACGACAAACCGGGGGATTGGCTCCTCGACGGAATGATGGAAACAAAGGCTTGTAACCTTGAGAAAGATCTTGTGAGTAATTTTAAGTTTTTATTTTTTAGTTAGGGCAAATAATTTAAGATATTCGATTAAATTTAAAAAATGCATACAATACAATACATCATAAGATTTGATAAAAAAATTATTTTCCCAGTTAATCAATTGATTGATGACCATTGAAATCAATGAGTTCTTTGTTTTGTATATTTAAATATATTACATAGAGTACCTATAATATTAAATTATTTTAATAAATAAATTATACAATAATACGTAATACCAAAAAGGCTAAAATATACTTAATATTAAAATAACTTTCACCCAGAATCGCTTTTCGAACGCTAAGGTTAATTTTCGTGGCTTTCAAACTTATACAAATAATATAACTACAGCCCATCAACCATTTAATATCAAACACAAAATTCGAAAATTCGATTGAAGTTCCATTTTTATGTATTCTGATGACCATCATTGGGTATAATCTGAAAAACAACGGAAGGAAAACACTAAAAACTCATCAGTAGTTCATTCAACTCGTGTATCGTACTGGACAGCTTTTTTGATTATTTATCATCATTTTTAGAGAGATTGTCGAAAACGTAAAGATGAAATATGGGTGACATTCAGACCATCTCTTTTTCAACATATTGGTACTAGATCGTCTTTGAATGGTAAAATTCAACTACTAAAGGTACATTTTTACCGCATTACATTAAATTTACAATTTTAATTAATCGTTTTCTTTTGCAGGATGGTCTTTTCAGAAAAAGTGTGAATGTTAAACGCACAAATAAAATTATAGGAAAATGACCTATGGCCAGGTACAGGTTACCTGTAGCAAAAATTAAAAAAAGTCTCATGAAATGATGAGATAAAAAAAGTGAAAATTGACTGTGATTACTGGAGTGAAATGATATATTATATTATAATATATGTAAACTTTTTATTTATACATTTAAATTCAAATTTAAATGTGTAACAGTAAAATTAATAACAATATGAAATAATTATTGATTATTTTCACGCATTTAAATAATAGAGATATATTCGTTTACGCTAAACATACATCATTGAGTATTTCATTATTATTTCCATTTAATTTACATCAAAAGGAAACTCTGATATGAAATAAAAACATTATTCAAAAATAAGTGTACATTATTTATAAGAAATATAATAACAGTACACTTATACTCAGGGTTAACAAGGGACCTAATTTTAATATTTAAATTTTTAATTAAATACCCTATATTATGTATTGAGTAAATTATGAAAGTAGAATCGGAGAAATAGTATTCATACTACGTATTATCTTATATTATTAATTTTATATAAATCAATGTACCTAGTCAGATGAAGAAAAATAAATATATGTCTAACGTTGAAAACCGAATATTATTACTCACAGAGAAATGTTAATAAATATTAGAACTTAATAAAATGTAATTAATACGTGATGAATGAATTGTTGAAATTAAAAATTATTTTGTAATTTGTGAATATTGTATTGAGGCCATTAATCTAATAATTAAATGAACACATGTTTTTACTGTCAATTTTTATAGTGAAAAATTTAGCATTTGTTTATTTACCATTACAAATGTGATAATACTCCATGATAAGCTTGTATAAATACTTCTATAAACAACACACATATTTTGAGAAGAGAGTTATAAAGAATGTTAATTATTGATTAAAAATTAAGCTGGAACTTAGCCTTCAATAATTTAAATAAAGGCAATAGTATATTTTCGAGGGGAATAGAGGAATTCCTAGGTCTCAATCTCCCTCCCCAGAAGAATAAAACGTTAAAAATTTATAAATGACTTGTTACGAAGGTACAGAGAAAGAAACCATTATTTTATATAATGTAGTTGTAAATAACTCTTATATTATTTATAAGTATATATTTATATATATGTATATTTATAATTATAATAGAATAATATAATTATTAATTCATACCTGGTATGTATTTTTTTTTTTAAATATAAAATAACCTATTTTTAAAAAAATGTAAGTTTCCCCCCGAAAAAAATTCAAAAATACGCCACTGTATGTCTTATAACATATTAAGATGGCATATAATTTTACAGTCCTCATTTGAACATTATTTTAAGAAAATATTTATAGAATATTATATTCTACTGCATCTTATGATAATTTTCAAATCTAATTAAATCTAATTATCTATTACGATAACCTCTTTTAAAAAAACTTCAACCTCTTCACGCCTTGAAAAAAATTAATTGATCAAGCTAAAACTGTTTGAATGAAATATTTTTTTATATATAGCATAATTAAAAGGAAATGGATGTTTTTAACAAAATTTGAAACATTTCGTTTTCCCCCAATATCATCCTAATATTACATTTATAATAATCTAATTATTCAACTGCAAAAATATTGACCACCAATTGAAGGATACAACACGTAAAAAGACAGTCGTTGGTTATAAATTACAATTTTGTTTGCGTTTATATAAAATAATATTACTTAGTGTTTTATAAAACGATTTTAATATATTATTACTTTGTAAAATTAGTAGTTTCACGATGATTATAAATAAATATATATTCAATTGTATAATTGACGCACTAATTATTTTTCTACATAAATTTAATTACCAACCAGAATACAGCATTATTTGATTATTTTAATAGAATCATTGTTCCCATCTAATTAAGTTAAAGGCAGTATTAATTGTACATGTACAGTGCTTTGTGTTGAGTTTGAAGGTTGACATTATAAACGAATGCAAATAGGTATATCCAATATTAAGTTTCACATGAAAATGGCAAAGCACTTTCCACTTTCAAATGTAAATTGTATTACGTCGGAGGACTAATCAAATTATTAGTTGATTTACATGTACATAACAGGTTAACTACAAAAGAAAAGTGACCACACTTAATAAATGATTGTTGTGTGTTATTACGCAATTATTAATGGATAATAATTGAATCGATATCTGATTTGAAAAAATTACATTCATATCTTCAATAACTATTGTTAATTATAAAATCATCGTCTCTAAAATCCTAATAATATTGCAAAGTAAGTATCAAACGGACATAAGTAAATATACATAACAAATCAGCCTAAAATTATAATAATTAATATTCAAGTTATTATTTTCTTGGCTACATTGTTATACTATAACTGAAGTTTAATACTCGAAAATAAAAATTAAATAATTTATTATAGTTGTATTAATAATTAAATTAATTGGCTACTCATTTTAAAATATTACTATTTATTGCTGATTTTCGACAATGTATTATAGATAATATAACAAGATACATTCAGTATAATTAAATTAATATGGACAGCGACAATAGTGCGTTTTATATGCAAAGAACGAAAGAACAAAATTATTGTTAGTAATAGGTACGTCAACCTATTTTTTTAATACATTTAGTGGCTACTCAATAGTCAAGTGACAATAACATGATATCAATGCGGTTATATTTTCTATTTTATAAATATTAAAAATATATTTAATCTAAAATTTTATTTTCACCGTAAAGATGTTCTGTAAAAATTGCATTACCTAAAATCAATAATATCCCACTATTTTCAGATCCTTTATTAACTTTAAGTTGTTACTTTGTATATTGATATTACAAATCATGATACATTTTCTTTTTATTTTTATATAAAAATTCATATAATATGACGTATAATATTTATACTATTTTTTTAACAAAATTTTACAAGTTGTTGTTTTGTTTGAAAACACTTTTTTTTAACTTGTAATTTAAATTTTTTCAACAAATAAACTAACTGTAATTATGTATATACACTTCTATATTTTGTAAAGAAACTTTTTTTTTTTTTGTATGTACAAATGTACATGGTTCGTTTCGCATAAGGCCGCGATTAATTGAGAGTACATGGTCTTCAACATTACAGATAATAAAAATAATTCCTGTTAGTTTATAAGAATCTTTGGATGTTTAATACATTTAATACATCTTATCATAAAAATTTGAATGAGCTGAATAAAATAATATGCCAATAATATTCGTTTCAAAACAAAAAAAAAAGACCGAAAACAAGCAAATTCTCACCCCGATAATTGTTCAAACACATTTTAGAAGTATAATTTGTATCATTAACCGTATTTTCAATAATAAAAATATATAGCCATTCCTATTCGATTGAAATTTGCTTATGATTAAATATTATTCGAATACATTTACATCCTGTACATTCAATTATTTTACTGATATTCTGATTCTGGCAACAATTATATTATCTTATTTTGTCTATTGTTAATTTATTTCAAAGTTTATTTTAAATATATTTATCGTTTTATGTTAACAAACCATTATTATTATATATTAAATTAAACTTTTAAATAATAACTATTTAATTCAAAGCATACGTACATTATTTTGTTGTGAAATACAATTTTATTCAAAATATTATATTTAATCACTGGAGCGAACATAAAACTTCGGATTATAATTCTAAATTTCTCAACTACTACAATTATTGCTGGTATTTTAGGTTTATTAATATCCTGGCCGATTACTTCTAAAAAATGTAGCACTTCGCAACCCGTCAATGATATCTTATAGTAACGGTGCTCAGAAAATCATACTAATTAATAATGACCAGTGGGTTGAGGTATCTTTTTTTTTTTATTATTATTCCAATCATCAATCAATTTCATAGGATCCTACCTACCCACCAAAATTATATATTACATCACTGCGAGAATAAATGCTTATGTTTATAATATGTAAGTTATATTTCAATATTTCACAATTCATATAATTAATATAACATGTTTAGTATATGAGTATTTTACCATAATAATTATTTTCATGACTTTTTTTACAAAGACCACCCACCCTTATTTTTTCATGAATCACGTGATTCACATTTAACCTTTTTGCACCGCCACTGGTAATTACTATATATCAAATACTTAAGTTTAATTGAACTACACAATACTCTGAGTCGAGCTTATAAAAAAAATGTCATGTACCTCATCTCAGGGATTCGCACACGAAATGTGAAAAGGATAAAAATGTCAAACGAAACAATAGCTGAAGACGTAGAAGAACGAACAATAATTATTTATTATTAGTACTGGTGGTATTAATGTGGCCCATTTTATATGGCATAATTTACAAAATTATTGAGGATTAAAATTTGCGTGATACATTATAATTTGTGTATTAACCATTCTCATTTTTAAAAGATAACTATCGTATTTCATGCCTACGTTAATCGATACAAATGTTTTTGAATACGTTGATTATCTTATGATATTCACAAGGAGGGTTAATGGTCGATTAATTAGACACTAAAATTATACGGAATCATAGTTGATCAGCTATAGTGAATAGATAATCATATTATATAATATATCATATGCCATATGAAAAATTAGTCTTTTTGCGAAAATACTAGAGGTGGGCAAAAAACATCGATGTTTATGGTCGATACATAGATGTTTTAACATCGATATTTAGTCATCGATACATCGAAGACAATACCAATGTTTTGCGTTATTATTTGACGTTTTGTGATTTGTTTATGTAAAACCGTATTCAAAAATCAAAATGAGTCGAAGCGATGTGTGGAAGTTTTTTGATAAAAGAGACAATAAAACCGCAGTTTGTAATATATGTCAATAGACACTAAAAACATCAGGTGAGTACCTATTCGCAATATTTTATATAGTATTTATATATAGTTATTTTAACTAAACCAATATTTTTTTTCTGTAATGTGGTTAGGTACCATAACTATAATTATATTTGTATGGATATTATAGCTATCATAGTCAAAACATAAAATTATTTGGTACAATACTATTTAAAAACAAATATTCAAATACACAATTAATAAACTATAGCTCTCAAAAAAAATGTACATTTTATCGATCATTTAACTTTATTAATTTTTTTTTTAGGTAATACTACTAATTTGAATGGCCATTTAAAAAATATACATGGCAATATTTTTTCGGGAAAAGTCAACGCAAAAGTATGTTCTGTAGAATTTACTGAATTGCAAGAACAACATGACCCACCCAGACGACTCAGGACTATCTAATTCTAAGACTAATATTGATGAATCAACTGAAAACAGTGATAAGTATAGTATAAAAAATATGACCTAAAATACATTTATGAGTTCATTTAAAAGGCAAAAAACAATAAATGAATCATTTGCATTTTTAAATTCTTTCAAAGAAGGCAGTCAGAAATCTGAAAAAATTATCCATGCAATAATGTACATGGTGTGCAAAGATAATCAACCACTTAGCATTGTAGAAGATAAAGGCTTTGTTCATTTGATGAACGTAGTTGCACCAAATTTTAAAATTCCAAGTCGAAGGGACATCTCTCGTAGAATATTTTTATTGTATGATTCAATGAAAAATATGTTTATTGACAAATTAAAAAATGTTCAACACTTTGCGTTGACTACCGATATATGGACAGATATACACACAAGAAGTCATATTGGCATTACCATATATTTTGTGGAGAACTATATAATAAATTCAGGTCTGTTGGTCGTTTTTGAACTGGACGAAAGGCACACATCTGAGTACATTGCTTCTAAGTTAGTAGAAGTGTGTGATGAATGGAGTATATCGACTAAAAGTATAGTTGCTATTACCACAGATGGAGCAGCAAATATGATAAAAGCTATTGATTTAGCATTTGACAAAAAACGTCAGATTATATTTTTTGCTCATGCATTAAATCTTGTAGCTCAGCAAGCCATATCAAATGTTCCTGAACTTACCACTTTAATCTCAAAAGTTAAAAATATAGTCAGATGGTTTAAGCAAAGCGTTGTTGCGAGTGACGACCTTAGAAAGACGACTAAGGGTGATGGAAAACTGCTTCAAGAAGTTCCTACTCGCTGGAATAGTACATTTTATATGTTTGAGAGGTTTATTTGTTTAAATCAAATTGTTAATGACATTGTTCATAGGCATATTTCTGCTCCAGATATGGTATCGGCTAAAGAAGTACATGATATCTCTGATGTAATAGATATATTAAGACCAGTAGAAGCTGCTACAAAGGAACTTTGTGCCCAAAAATATGTAACGACAAGTATGGTGATTCCTATGGTGTTTATACTGCAGAAAAATGTTAAAGAATTTCAACCAAAACAAATAATGGGAATTCAGCTAAAATCTGCAATTATTGCACAATGTGATAAACATTTCAGTTCTGTAGAAAGTTGTTCCCTTTTGGGTATGACAACTATTTTGGACCCACGTTTTAAAAAACTTTATTTTAAAGACACCGTTGTATTATCCAAGATGCTGAGGTATATATCAAATGAGATACAGCAAACACAGACCATGAGCTCCAGTGAAAGTTCATCCGATACAGACAACACAGGTATGAATATACAATTTATCATTTACAAAATAAATTTATGATATAACATGTATGCATAATATTTATTTTTTTATTTTTTAGCAGTAGAAGAACCTCAGACGTTCAATTTGTGGCAAGATCATGCTAAATACGTTCAACAATCTACCAGTCGTAAATCCCATAGAGGACAGTTACAGGAGGATAGTGGATTTTCCTCCGAATTAAATTTATACTTGAAAAGCAGTTATGCCAGATTATCAGATGATCCTTTACTGATACGGAAGGATATGTGTAAGGTGTATCCAATACTATCCAAGGTTGCTGTTAAATATCTAGTACCTGTTTCGACGTCTGTCCTCAGCGAAAGATTGTTTTCTAAGGCAGGATTGACATTAAACAAACAACGGAATCGATTAACATCCAAGCATTTAAATCAACTGTTATTTTTACAGTCTTTAGATGAGACATTATGATTATGACGTTAGGTTAGTCAGTTAATTATGTACAGTCAGACAATAAAGCATATTATTAAAAAATATCAAACTGTTTTTTGTTATTGCTCATCCAATAAAATTTAATTCAAAACAAAAATGCATAGTATTGTATAATGTATATTGTATACCTACTTAGAGTTTAGACATAAAAATTTTTAAATATCTTAAATATGTAACTATTAATTTATTTAATACCATTTAATATTTTTGACTTATTTAATTAAATATATTAGACAAATAGTATTATCAATTTAATGACAATAAACTGATAAGGAAATAAGCAGTATAGGACATATAGGTCATAGGACTATAATAGAAGTATACTAGTATGATAGTAATCAGTATCTAGTAACTACTACCTAATGCCTACTAGCTACTAGCAAGGACGCAGGGTAAACACTAAAATCGAGTACGCGAACCGGCGAACGTAATCGGATCACTTGTATGAACCATGATTCCCATTTCTATAATAGATTCTTTTGTAGACTTTTTTCTATAAAAGTTATTGTTACAAATAATATACTGAATTCTGAGACTTTTTTTGTTTATTTAAGTTTTTCCATGTTCTTAAAAAAATGTATGTTAAAACAACTAAAAAACATCGATGTTTTTTTAGGAAATCTTATATATCAACAACATCGATGTTTTAAGTTTCGATGTATCGATACATCGAAACATCGATATTTGAAAATTTTTACCCATCTCTAGAAAATACTAGACTATTTGTAATGGGGTAGCCCATTTGAAAGCGACTTCCTATATATATTATTGTATTATACATAAATAAATAATATATTATTTATCCACAAAAATATTAATTCATAATAATAATTGATGAAACATTGAAAGCCTTGAATACAATATAGTTTAATACCTCACACAAATACCAATTATAAAATATAAGTATAATAGTATTTATATATAAAGTATATTAAGTACTTAGTTTTGAGTAACAATTAATAAAATAATAAAAAATTGAATTAAAATTAAAAAATAGTAAACGATAAATACTCGTAAATTAATATGTAAATAAATAAACAAATAGTTTATATACATAGGCGTATCCAGACTTCGTATTCAGGGTATGCAGGTATAATCTATAGCATATATGTACAACACTGAACTTATCAAGACAAATAGCAGTCTCCAAAAAATTAGAATATAAATTATTTTTCATAGGAGTTCCATACGCTGAGGTCCTCTGACTACGCATATGGGGTTCCCTGTGATTTTTATATGTGTCCTGTAATTTCAATTGAAATATATTCGATAGGTTCAAATACTACCATCTCATCTCACAAAGAAGAAAATTTGATAATGTTCAAATCCTGACTAGAGACCTAGGCCCTAATGATGACATTAAATATATCTTAGATAAATAGTGTATAATTCTGTATGATCATTTTCTGAATTTCAAAAATACTCTTTATTCAAAATAGCTTGATTTAAAAAGTACATTGAACACTAAATTTTAAAAATAAATTAAATTAATTGACTATTAAATTAAGGATGCTGGGTGTGAAAAAGTAACTGAATATACAAAATCTATAATTGAGTATGATATGAGGGCGAGGTGACCATTAAATTGGCTCCCAATATAATTTTCAACAAGTGATTCTCATAATATAAAAGTTCAAAAAGTACGCGACATTAATAAAAATAACTTCAACTATAGATTAAAATAATTTAAAATACAAAAAGTCCATCAAAATTATTAGTAAAAATAAAAATAAAAATGCATACATAAAAAAAATTCACTGACCTGTACTGTTTTAATATTATTTAGTATAGGGTTTGTATTAATACGTCGATGGTTGTGACCATTTAATGCGTTATCGGATTAAAGATTGGATAATTTAAAGACTAATCGGCACTGTGTCGCTACAAATATTACAGTCGCGTACTTTTTCAACTTTTATATTTTTAATGTATAATTGGATTTTTTTTTTTTCGAACAATTTTGATAACCAATGGATTTATTAAATAAATGTATAGGAAGCCAATTCATTGCATAAATCTTGGGAGCCAATTAAATACGTAAAAATGGCGATTACCTGAGTTAGGGAGCCAATTCAATAGCTCCGCAGGGCGATTGGTATTCACGTAGAAGATAGAGAAAATCGAAACAAGTGGAGATTTAGGACAAGGGTAGCTGACCTTAAATATTTGGGAGAAATGTGAAGAAAAAGAATATGTAAAATACCACATTTATAGCCTCAATGAAAATACTCGTAAATTATTTAAATAATGATAATTAACTTGTCTAATAGGTTATGTTAATTTGGAATTTTTTCTTTATAGATGAAAAACATACCATTTTTTCTACATGTTCTAAATGTGGTTTTTATCCCAACATTCGAAAAAATAACTAGATAATTGAATGGAAAAAAAACTTTGTCAAATGTTCCATCAAAGACAATCGAGGTAATTTTATGGTTTTCAAAAAATCAATAACCGAATTAGAAGAGCATATATTAATGCATAGCAATGTAAATATTTTAATATAGCTATGTATTTTAATATTTGGTATGCCACTTAAACCTAAAAAAATATAAATTATAAATTATTTTTTATAACATCTGCCATTGATATGCGTTTTAAAATAATTCACATATTCAATTTGGAATATCCTGCTGAATCATCAATAATGTAGCTTTTTACTCAAAAATATTTTTACATACTGAATACTAAATATGATAACATTAGATCAAATTTTAAGAGATTTAACAGTGACAGTTTTTCTAAATAACCTTTTTTTTGAAAATGTAAATTATTTTAAAAATTAAAAAAATAAATTCTTGTATATAAGTCTTGTTGTAAGTTTTGATGTGGACAAATTTTTAAAAAAAAAATAAAAAAATAAAGGATTATGTAAAACAGAATATAAGACTAGTTTAAATATTTGAGGCACAGGTCAAAGGATGATTTTTTTAATATACGTATTTATTTTTTGAAATGATTATAATTTTTAATTCTGTGATAAACAATTAATTGTTTATTTTGTTAATTATGTAATTATGCTTTTAACAAATAATTTAATATTTAAAAATTACTTTTATTTATGAATATTCAAATAAAAAAAATTATGTACCTACAATCATAATTAGTTAAAACAATAAATATACTGAGCACTTACTTAAAAATCATCCTGTTGACCTAATATGACTTTTACCTATATATTCTGCATAATTGATTTTTTTAGAGTATGTAGATATGATACATGAAGTGTTTTACATATTATAAAAGTTTATTTTATCTTTATGTAATTTACAAAGGTGACTATAAAACTGTTAGTAGAACAAACAAATTTTATATAATCTATTGCAATTATTGAAAATTTAACAATAGGATTATTTCAAATTAATAAAGCATTATATTAATGTAACTATTTACAATTGTTGTAATTTTTTATTATCAACAGGTATATATAGTAACAGCAATATAGTATATTCATATTGATAACTGTTTTTGTACTATTGATCATACTAATATGAATATTATTAATTGGATAAGATACGTTTACCTGCTCTGTTCTATATAAACAATATTTTTGTCAAACTAATAGAAATTATAAAGATATACAAATATACAAATATAATTTTACCACTACGAGTATGATTTTTCTTGGGGTGCAGAGTACTTGTATGTTGCTTTTTAAAAAAGGAGAGTTTCTTACCTTGTAAGCCCTTTTAAAGTTCAAGCCCTCCATTCAAACTTGTTTGGTTTGGTATTTTAATTACTTCTCCATTGCTCGTACTCTTCCTGAGGATAATTCTGCTATTTCTTGTTCAATTATGAGTTTTTTGCAATTCTTCAATATACATCCAATACTCCAATACGTCTTTTCTTTTTCTTTGCTGTGCATAACTCCAAATACAAAAGTTGTGTTGTGCGCTGTGGTTCTAAACTTGTAATTAAAACTTATTATGCAATCTACGAATATTTATTCTCGTAGTCATTGAATACTCTGTTCTTAGTTTTGTTATGCTTTCCCCGTAAGTCTTGTCATAATTTCCAGTAGTAAATGAGGGGCTGGGTTCATTTTACAAGATATCACAAATTTTCATTTTTCTATTAATATATCTAACTGTTCAGTGTCACTGCCGTCACAGGATTTCGGTGGTTAGTGCTTTTTTAAGTCCGATTTGATCCATTGAAATATCTTAAATTGTCTTGAATAAGTATTTTTCTTTATCCTTAATAAGTCTTAAATGTTGTCATTAATCAATGTGTCAATCTTGATTGTCTTCCATATTTTCTTAATAGTTATACTTGAACATATATATTTTCCAGGGACGTAGAAGTGACCCATCGTCTACTATCCAATTAACCTTTCCCGACCTTGATTGAATGTCTGTAAGATGAGAATTGTCTACTTGTTCTGAATTATTTGAATGGCTTGAATTTTCTGTATGATCTGAAATGGATGTTCTTGTATTATGTCCTGAAATTTGTGATTGTTTCGCGTTGACGCGTAACAAAATGTCTGTTTTTGTGATTATGTGTATTAAACTTTGATCTCCATTCTAGGTTTCCAAGTAATTCATAAGTCACTGAACTTAAATTATATTCCCTAATAAATAAATTATCCATGAACACTTCTGCTATTTCCCTTTCTAATTCTGAGTAGTTGGGCCCCAAATAGGTGAACTCACCCTTGGGGTAATTGGTGAAGAGAAATCTACTGCAATGAGTTGATCAGAATTTTCTGATAAATAAATTTCACTCCTCCTTCGACTCATCTACCCTTAATTATTTGTATGTATTTACCTCACCCTAACTAACAAAATGCGAAAATCATTCAGTTATAATAGCATTGCACTAACTACGTATTTATCAAATAAATATAAATAAATAATATAGTATAAAAAGAAAAAAACATGATTTTCTTACGACATTGCGAATTTGGTTTGAAAATTTATTCTCATTCTTGGGCGGGTATTTTCTCAATGGAATGTTTTGCTATTGTCCCGTTCCGA